ATCTTCCTAGTATGAGCGGCAGCACAGGTTATAGATGTCGAAGCGAAGGGCCAGGGCTCTGTTATTAAGATTGTTGATGGTAGTGGTGGTGGAAGCTCCTGAGTTGAAAGCCTGGCGGAAGAGCTCCGTCTCGCAGACCCTGTGGAACTTTAAAAGGTCCCACAGGGCCCTGATCTCCTCTGGGAGCTCATTCCATCGGTATGGAGCCGCCACAGAAGCCTGGCAAACAATTAGCTGTGCCTTTATCTTGGGGAGCTGCAGTGGCTCAGTGGTTAAGATGCAGGCTGGAAGGTTGGTCGTTCAGCAGTTCGAGACCCGAGTGCCGCATGACGGAGTGAGCTCCCATCTCTGGCCCCAGCTCCTGCCAACCTAGCAGTTTGAAAGCAAGCAATTGCAAGTAGATAAATAGGTACCACTGCAGTGGAAAGGTAACAGCGTTCCGTGCGCCTCGGCGTCTACACATGCCGGCCACATGACCATAGAAACGTCTTCGGACAGCGCTGGCTCTTTGGCTTGGAAACGGAGATGAGCACTGCAGCCCTAGAGCCGGATTCGACCGGCTTTCGAGCGAGGGAAACCTTTACCTCACCTTACCTTGGGGAATCAGGATTCCACACACACACCCCAATACTATCTCTGTGCATGCCTTGCAGAATGACGCTCTCGTTGGAGACGACTTCATGAGGAAAATTGAGCCGGTGGCTGCCCTGGTGCCGTATATGACCTGCCCAGGAAACCACGAGCAGAAATAGTGAGTCCCAGTGCAGGCTGGGTGCCAACGGAGTCCCTCATGCTCCCTCGGAGTCGGAGATTAGTGGGGAAGGGAAGCCCGGGGCTCGCGCTGAGAGAAGGGACTGGGCGCTGCCTCCCTCTGATTGCCCCTTGACCGGCTCACTTCTTTCCCCAGCAACTTCTCCAACTACCGTGCTCGCTTCAGCATGCCTGGGGGCACCGAGAGCCTCTGGTACAGGTGAGCGTCCCCCCTGGGCGGGAGGTGGAGTCGGCGGAAGCCCCTCGCCCCTCTGGCTGGCCCTTGTCACTGCTCTGGCTTCGTTTGCAAAATACCTTGCAGAAGGAGTGCGAGAATGGCCAGAACAGCACGTGGTTAAGAACATAAGGAGAGCCCTGCTGGGTCAGACCAGGGAGGGTCCCTCTAGTCCAGCCTCCCGTCTCACACAGGGGCCAGCCAGTTCCTCTGGAGGGCCAGCAACAGGGCAGAGAGGCCGAGGCCTTCCCCTGATAAGGACACCAGAAGAGCCCTGCTGGGTCAGACCAGTGAGGGTCCACCTAGTCCAGCCTTCCGTCTCACACAGGGGCCAGCCAGTTCCTCTGGAGGGCCAACAACAGGGCAGAGAGGCTGAGGCTGCCTGGCATGCAGAAGGTCCCAGGTTCAATCCCCGGCATCTCCACTTAAAAAGGACCAGGCAGGAGGTGATGGGAAAGAC